GGGAGGGGGGCAGCGAGAGATACTGACTTGTTCCTTTTCATTTCTCTTCTCCTTTTTGCGCCAACAATATACAGCAGATCTGAAATCATATCCACCCATATCCCACCTTTAAATGAAAATGATCTATGTTATTATATAGCGCGCTAAAAACCTTTAGAATGATTCAGCGACCCGTTTTTGGGCTGCTGAAATTGGCGGGAAAACGGGTTGGAAAAGGTCTTCGTTCGGCACGTGTGTTCCTGGTTGGGCTTCCCGTGCTTCGTTCAGAGCACATGAACTAATACGGGGACGAAGGACCTTGCAAAAGTCTAATCTAGAAGCTGAAATCCCGAACGTTGGCAGATGCAGTGAGGCAGTCTTCCCAATGTTTTAACATCTTTTTTACACGACTACGCGACACACGACTTGTTCTGAGATAGACAATGTGCGTTCTTCATTCTGGCATCTCACCAATGAAATACCAGAGACTTTTAAAGGATTATATATATGAGTGTACTCCCTGGGATTGTTCCATTAAGACATGCTAGATACGACGAATAGATCCGCCCAAAGGAGTATTCGTTCGACCCTGTCCACTAAGTAATGATCTTTTGGTTGCATTGATATGTTGAATGATTCTCAAATAGTCTCTAGAACTTACACATTCGTTCGTTGCTTTTCTAGCTGCTTATATCCCTACCAAATTGTGTAGTGTTTTGAGTAGTCCGTCTTCGTCTTCCAAAGATTTTTTAAATGTTATTATCTGCTGCTGTAGACACTTTTGTCGACCTGCAAGCAGCCAGACAATCATTTCAAACTCGTGGTAAGGACGAAAATGTAAAGAGGAAGGTTTCACTGCAAATTAAGCAATGGTATAATTATAAATAAACCAATCATGTTCAGGTACGAGATCGCGTGACTGCACTAGCTGACTACGTGATTTAAGGCTACGTGTACAACAGATAAAGGGTGTAGACCTTTGGTGCACCGTCATTCATCTATCTGACTCATCGATAGACAACACTCGAGCAGCCATGGCCAAAACAGCTTCTACATTGATGGTATTTCTTGTGTGCCTTTTCCTGGTGGCAGGTTAGTTTGACGTTAATTTACACTGCTTTATTTATCAATTGTCATTTCCAATTTCGAATGAAAAAAAGACAAGATAATAATAGAGGCGCATGTACCTGTTCTAACAGAAACGTTGTGAAGAGATCTAGAACTCACCCAGCATCTTATAACCAATAAGAAATCTTTGGACAAGAGATACCTCTTTCTTTGTAGCATTTAATGTAATGACGACTGGGCAAAAGTGTTTGGTCGTGTCATTTTTGCAAACATATGCTAAACATCTTAGTATTTAGTAGAAGAAAGATACGTCTACTTCATTTTTTTATATAAGTGAAGGCCTTATAACTAAATGTAAGGAGTTCCTTTCAATGGGGAAAAGTTCACATCCTCAAGTTAACCATTATTAGAAGTTAGACATTCTTTACAATTCTTTTTAAATTTAAAATAATTCACTATATCGAAGTCCTTGATTCAGGTTCTTGTCTGTAGAATCAATCTTTGGGTATTAATTTCGAGCTTCGAGTATCATCTTTTTCAATCAATTTCTTTATCTGTTGTCTATAAACATTTTCATTCATTCATTAAGACGTCTGTAGTCAGCCGGCCATTAATTATGCATCTCTGTAGCCATTTATTTCCGTCACGTGCTTTTCTTTTGTTAATTGATTTGCTTTGATCACTTTATTCCTATTGGCTTACTGATATCCATGCATGCATGCATGCATGCATCCATCCCTCCCTCCCTCCCTCCTCCATCCATCCATGCACCCATGCACCCATGCACCCATGCACCCATGCACCCATGCACCCATGCACCCATGCAC